AAGATCAGCTACATGGTGACGTTCAAGCTCCTCACTCCTTACACCCTCAAGGTCACCATCTTCGACGACGATGGCATTGAGGTCGTCAACAAGTGCAGGAAGCACGACGAAGTCTTCGCCGCCAAGGAGTAGGGTCGGGGCCTCTCTAAGTACTATCAAGTCTGCTTTGAACTATTTATATTTATGGTTTATGCGTAGAACTGTTATGAAGTGTGGTACTGCTTATCTGAATTATGCTCTTAAGTAGTTGATCCTCTGTTTATACTTTGCTCTGCTTATGATGTGTGCTACATGGTTGTGCCGAAGTGTGCTGGTAACCGCACCAACTAGCCAAAGAGGTTACCATACACCAGGCGTTGCATACAACCAAACACCATGCTTTGAGTTTATCCACTAACATGCAGGCAACCAAACACCAGGCAGTGTGGTTCTGCCCATATAGGCAAGAGGGCATGCAGGCAACCAAACAACATGCAGAAAATGCATTTGAGGTTGCATTTGCATAGCCAAGTCGAGTGGAGAAGTGTATGCAATATGAATACTGTAGCGCACGACAACCAACCACGCCCGTAAGGAGGCCAACCCGGTCAGTACGCGCTCAGGTCTGAAGATGCTTGTGTGTGTGTGTGTGGAGGGGGGGGGGTGATATATAGCGCAAATGCCAAATGTTATTTATCGTTCATAGCAGGTGACACAATAGAGGTCACCCACGTCAGGTTCGACGTGGGTTGAGGCGTAAGTTTTTTCCGAAAGGTGGCTGAGGCACAGGTAAGCAGCCGACGTTTTTCCGCCAGTTTTTCTTTTCCTTTCCATTTATCGGTATTTCTGTTTCAGTTTCTTTTTTACAGAAAATCACAAATTGCATAAATATTCAAAATCTTTCAAAAATTGCTTTTCAAAAGCAGTTCAGGATTTGAAAAAATGTTCATATTTTTAGAATTCATTTGTGTTTTTGAAAACGTTTAGAATTAAAAACAAATCACTAATCGAAAGAATTGTACGTGTGTCATCAAAAATAATTAAAAATGATTCAGAATTCCATGAAATGTTCAAAAAAAATATAAAAAAGTCTTCACATTTTTCGTAAATTTCTATGGGATTTAAGATTTTTTCATGATTTCAAACTTTTGTTAAACAACATTTTTAGTATTTCGCTGAACATTTTTTAATTCGAGAACATTTTTCCAAATCCATGGAAAATTTTGAATTCCAGAACTTCTTCAACTTTTTTGAAAATTTCACAAATTCGTAAATATTTTGTTAGTTCATGAAAAAACTGAATTCCCAAATACTTCTTGAATTCGTTATTTTTTTTTACTTTACAAAAAAATAAAAAATCATGACATCTTCTGAATTAGAAACCGACATAGATAAAAAAAGACATCGGAACAAACAAAGTGTATGTGTAAAAAAAACTAGCTCCTGGGCCGGCCCATTAGTGGAAGGCCGTGAGTAGCGCCCATGGTATATATGGCCTGTTGCAATCCAGATCACTCGCGTCGCTCATGTACCGAGATCACTAAGGAGTACCCTTCCAAAGGTCAGTCGTACCTTCTAGAGTTCACAAAGTGGCGCACTGCTTGCGTGTCATTTGTCGCAACCAGGGAGTGTTTATTTTTTCATAGATTCGTTTATTCAAAATGTTTTATCTCTTGAACCGTGCATCCAATGAAGAACCGTATTCGTTGTTGGATTTCTCGCGTCGAGATCTTCGAAACTAGACCCCATGTCCATGTTAGTAGGTTTTGACTAACATTTTTTTACGAATAATCCAGAAGAAAAAACCAAGAGCCGGAAGTACATTTTTCTTTTCACATTTTTTCCTTTCAAGAGGCACAAATGTGCCGCCCCTGGAAGCAAATTTATGCCTTCAAGAGAAGAAAATATGCGCTTCTTGTAAAAGAAAAAAACATATTTTCCCCTTTCGAGAGGCAAAACTACGTCTCTCGCAGAAACAAATCTGTGGCTCCACAAGAAGCAAATTAGTACTACTCATGAAAGAAAAAAAACTAGTTTTTTTCAAGAGACATAGTTCTGCCTCTCACCAAAGTAAATCCGTGCCTCCATGAGAAGCAAATTTGTACTTCTCATGGAGGAAAAAATATTTTTTTTTCTTTCTCAAGAGGCATGCGGAAAACAAATTTGTGCCTCCTTGCTTCCCAATGGAAGCAAAGAAAACATTTTTCCACACACAAAAAAAAACATTTTTTTGCTTCAAAACCTAGGAAAACCGGGCGAACACCGAAAAGCCAAAAAACCAAAAAAAAACATCTTTAAAATTTGTTTAGGTAACACCTGAATGTGTTCTTTAACATATCACATAGAGTTTTTAAGGGAAATAAACATTTTCTTAACCTGCGGGTACATTTGTTTTATATATTTTTTGAATTGCCAGAATTTTTCTTTCAAAGGTCACGTATATTTTTTTAATCGTTCAACATATTTTTTACAATAACCAACCATTCTATTTTTTATTCATTTAATGATTTTTGGAAATGTCCAATAATTTTTTTATTTGTGATATTTGAATATTCCGAACATTTTTTTGAGATGATTCCGAACATTTTCTTGCCACTGAGTTCAGGATGTTCCTTGGTAAGCTTCAACAACAGCTTGTGGTGGTTGCGAGGCCCAAGCCACCATCTTCAGGCAACCCATTCACGCATGAGAGTCTCCTTTCCAACATTAGACAGGCCAACAAAATAATCATCCCGAGAGTCTGTGAAAAAATTGTCAGTGGTTAGACTGTAAAAGACTGTATGCATGTATAACAACAAGCAAGTCTGTGAAAAGGATGAGAAGAGCATATATGTAAAATCACGCATCTAGTCATAACTGAAAATAGTAAAAATCTGCTATTGCAAAAACATAACTGCCTGCACCTCACATATTTGTACTAACTAATTCTGACTGAAGGCTGAAGCACCCAGCAGTTATCTAGGATGCCCGGAGAAACAGCCGAACACAAAGATAGATTTGAGTAACTACATACCCATCTAGTCATAAGATTTGAACACAGCCGAACACAAAGGCTGGCCATCCTGCCTGCACCTCAGAGCAAGTTATGGTGATTTGCACTCAGCTTTTCCTCTCTTTCTGTTATTTATGCAGAGTCCAAACGACCTGCGGAATACAAGCAAATCACACCCACGCATAGTCAGCCTAATGATCGTGCCATCCGACGATGCTAAACTTGCGCGAGCTACTACGCAGCCGTCAATCCCGCTGGAGTTCATGCCATCCCATGAAGCGGTCTTGCCGGCGCAGCTACAGCTAAACAGCTAACTGAAACAACTCAAGAAAAAAGACAGGAACCGGACGTGGACAGGTACACGCTGCCGGCCTGATTATTTCTGCTAATAACAACTATGTGTAAACACTAGACTAGCAATGGGATTACACATGAATAATAACAAAAATTCAAGATAAAAGTCTACAGATTCATAAGTACCCGCACACACTGGGCATAAGATTCATGCATCCCACATGCAAAGAAGTGAAAAACGTTCGTTTTGTCGGCAGGAAGTTCAACACACAAATGATGAACTGATCTAAGACTGAACTGAAGTGCTGAATCCTTGAAGCTGCAGCATCCTGCGTGTCAAGTTTCGCCCCAAGCTGAAAAAGACAGACAACATGATCATATATACGATTCGACGAGAGACAAATTTAGATCTTAGGATCAAATGAAGATACCTCTAATAGTAGGGTGGCTTGATGCAGCACAACCATATATCGATCTATGCAAGCAGTAGAGTAGGGCGGTTGGGATGTATCCTGGCTGTTTTCTCCAAATAAGCCTTTGCTGCTGAAACAGCACTGTTGAGCCAGCCACGTACTTCACATTTGACACTACCGAGGTTGAGGAGGTTACCGATTCCGAGATCGAAAGCTTCGCTGCTGAGAGAGTCACATTCCGCTGCGTTGAACAAAAGATCAAGTTTCTCTAGCTTGGGCATGGATCCTGGTTCAAACAATAGATCCATCCCTCCAAACAGTACTTTATGATAAAGTAACTCCCTCAAGCATGGGAACCCAACTGCACCACTGACTCTGAGCAGGTCATTACCCTTTGCTGCTACTTTCATCTTCAGGACAATCAGAGCTGGTAAGCCTCCAAGGATGCAGATATGTTCCTGGTCGACTCCCTGCACTTCAAGCTGCAACTCTTGGAGATTGACGAGGAAGCCCATCCAACTCTGAACTTGCGGTGCCCCACCCATAAGTTTCTTGCTCTTTGGTTCCACCGAGATACGGCATTCATGATTCCAAATAGTTACAGAACCAATGTTCTGTGTCCACAGTTTATGGAGAGAAGAGCCAATAGCTTTATTGCGCTCCTCCTTAACTCCCGTTGCATCACCCTCCTCCTTAACTGCCGCTGTGTTTTCTTCACAATCTAGGATCAGCTTTCGCATATTCTTTAGTTGGCCAACTTCTTGCAGAAAGTTAACTGATTGCTTGAAGACGGCGACCCGCTTCAGTATCTCCAGTGCTTGCATCTTGGCAATTCCATCTGGAAATATAACACCCGTGTCCGTGAGGAGATACACCAATCTTCTGAGATTAGCAATAGATGCAGGTAATTTATTCACGTATGTGCCTCTTATGTCCAGCATCTGTAAGAACACTAGAAGTCCGATTTGTTCTGATAGCTCATTTATTCTTGTGTTTCTCAAGTTCAGGTGCCTTAACTGAAACAATCTCCCTATATTTGCAAGATGATGGCTCTCCAGTTGGCTAAAGCCTCCAAAGTCTAAAACACGCGAATACTTGAACTTATCCAGAGAAGGAATTTCTCCGGAATACCCAAACACATTAATTGATCGGACATGAGACAACAACAAGCTATTTGAAGAATTTCCTTGATTCCCAACTTGGAGAGATAGACGACGAACGTTGCGCTGTGTCACAGTGTTTAGATCCGGAAGACCATCGAAAGTAACAAAGTTCTCTTCAATGGACTTGGATGTGATGAAATCAAGAATTGTGTCATGAACTCAACAACTCATCACCACACCATGTTCATTTGACTTAACAGGCTGGACCAGACTCCTATTGATTAGCTCATTAAAATACCTTTGTCCTAACTCATACAATGTATATCTGCCCTCTTTACGTATGAACCCTTCACCAATCCATCTCCTTATCAGGTCCTTCTTCTCAATAATATAGTCCTCTGGAAATATACTCAGATACAGTAGACAAGTCTTCAGATGAGGAGGAAGATCAAAATAGCTAAGTGATAATATCTTCATCATTAATTCCACGGTAGCATTTCTTTCAAGTGTACGTCCAATTGAATTTTTCACTCTATCCCATTCTTCAATGGTATTTTCTCTGTTAGCCAACAAACCAGATATAGCAATGATTGCCAAAGGTGAACCGGCACATTTTTCTAAAATTTGATCACAAACTTCTTCAAGGTGCTCAAGGCAATCTTCTTTGGAGTCTAGTCTTGTGTAAAATAGTTTTCTTGACTGTGCCATATCAAGAGGCCTCATATTGTAGATGTGACCAACAAATGATGAACAACATGCCCGAGCAACATCAGTCATACGAGTAGTGGTGATTAGGATACTTCCACAAGTGTTCATGGGAAATGCACACTTAATAACATCCCATGTTTTTACATCCCATATATCATCAACAACAATAAAGTACCTGCACATGATTTTATGGGTGAGTTTTTGTTCTAAATTAAGAAAGATCTTGATGTGAAGTGATAAAAAAAGTGAGATGTTTTCATTTATTTTACAAAAAATATAAGTAGGAAATCTGAACATGTACTAAAAAGTGTCATTATCGACTTAAGTAATTCATGCTTATGCATTGATGCTACTTTGGTATATTATGGAGAAGAAGAAAATATCAGTAACAGTTTGATCGGCTGTCATGACCGTGCAAAAGATCAAGAGATGCCTCAGTATGTTAAGAAGAATGCAGTAGTTGCACCACACATAAATTCTCGTCCCATTCCCAGTTTTTATCTTTGCCAAGAAATTGATACCAAAGAATCCCTATCAATGATTGCACTCCCTTGGTTGAAAATGATTTATGTTTGAGCCTCAAAGTCCAAATCACCACCCCTCCTATGCTCCTCATGCCTTCCAAGGAACAGGTTCCATAGGGCATCTCTGGCAGCTTGTCTAAAGCTCCACATAGACAGTGATCTAAAAATATCCCATCTAAAAAAATCATTTTTCCAGCAGATAGTCTATATGCACATTGTTTATATTTTCTCTCATATATTCTAGTGGTACCTTATAACCATTAAACATGGTTGTCTATACGAGATGTAGACAAAACGTATCCAGCATATTGTCTATAGGATAGTCTACTGCTCCACAATGTCCAAATATGTATGGGTGTTGTTTACATTTGGACAATGTGGAGTTGTAGAGTATCCCATAAACAATCTGTTGGAGAGTATTTTTTGCCTTACATTTTCTACGTCTCCTATAGACATGCTGCTAGAGATGCTCTTATCATCGAAAGTCTCGTTCAAACACTAATAGGTTGTCCATCGACTTTGGGAGGGGGTATGGAGCTTCAGCTAGCACCTCAAGAAAAGAGTGCATGGTAGTCCTAGTTAGGTCATGTATAAGGCCCCGGTTAGAACAAATGAATTTTATAGAAATTTCATAGGAATGGAGTCCTACAAGGGAAAAAGGTATGTGTGCCATTCGGATGGCTTTGAAAATTGTTGGAGAAATCAGTTATATATTCCCTTCGCATTTCAATGTATTCTAAATATATTTTTGGAAGCCTCGTGTTTTCACTCTCTTTGAGAAGTCTAATGCAAACATGTGTTTTTTACCTGTCCTCTTTTCTCTGTTATAAAGAAAGAATTTCCTTATATTCAGCTAGGTTCGGCTTAACACGACGGGGAACTATTTTGGACCAAGAGAATCTCAAATCATAGAGTTCTAATTAATTTAAGCAATTGTTTGGATCTTTTGGTGTTCAACTTTGCGTGATGGATGAGGACAACATTGAGGATATCCTGGAACTTTCACCAAAAGAGAATGTTGTGTAGACAATGCTTTTTATGGCAAGGAGGTGTATGACGCAAACTTATATATGAAAAGCAATAAAGCACAGGTATCACATGGGTTCCCGGCGTAGGTTTATCACAAAATGTTGGGGATCATCAAAACAGACCAAAAGTTGTTGTTTCAAGACTTATTCAATGTGAAACTTCAGTTATTTAAGGTAAACTTCAGAACTATCACATTGCTTCCTAAGGAGGACGCGGTGCGGATTGAGCAATTTGGACCAATCTATTTCCTTAATGTTAGCTTTAATTTTCATATCAAAGTGGGTACAAATAGGCTGATCGCAATAGGTCACGTTGTGGGTTCATCCTACTCAGACGGCTTTCATGCCCGGATGACACATCCTGGACGTGGTGGTTGTCCTTCATGAAACCATTCATGAGTTTCACTCTAAGAAACTCAGTGGAGTTATCTTTAAAGCGCATTTTGAGAAAGCATGTGACAATTGGTCTTTCCTACAACAAGCTCAACATGTGAAGGGTTTACTTTCCCATCCTTTTGCAACTATAGAAAGTCGAGAGGGAGGTGACCAGATACCCAACATCGACCGTCGACAAGGCTGCGGGTTCCCTGCCCCTCCTTCAGTCGCTCTGGCAGCGGGACGGGAAGGGAACCCTGGTTCTCTCCAGGTTTGTAGATCGTTGTAGGGTAAGGTTTTCGTTTGTCTTTGTTCGGGTGGTGGCGGCAGAGCATCCAAAAAATCTTCCTCAACTCGGGTCCCTTCATAGTGGTGCTTCTAGCGACATTACAGAGTTGGGGGACATGTCTTCCCTACTTCTCCGTCAGCTCAGCAGCGCCTCCTCCAGCGAACATATATCCACTAGAGGAATGACATGTTTGATAGAGCAAACATATGCTGCTCTGATTCCACGAGATTGACTAACATAACCCACCAGATGCTTCTTGCATGCGAACGGTGCTCCTGCTACCTCCATGGAGACATCACATTAGCCGTCGTTGACCACCTACAAGAGCCCGGAGTCCCTCTATCCGAGTCCGTCTCCAACACAATGTCCCCAAGAGGGAACACAACACCAAGAAAAGCTAATAGCAATGTATGATCTAGGAGACCAGATCTAGGGTTTCCCCTGTAGCATATTGGGAAAAGAAAAGGAACGGCGACATCATCGATGCCATCAACAAGGGAACAGTACCAAGCATCATCATTGACTTCTCCGGCCTCAGCGTTAGTACGGTTTTTAGTGGCAGACTCAGAGCATCTCTAGCAGACCCCACAAAATGCCCTCGACCCAAAAATACCAGCCGATATGCAAGTCCCGGGCCATTTTGTGGCCCGAACAGAAATAGCATTCCAGCGTGCCCGATAATTTTTTTCCAGGTTGCCCTAAATCTGTTCCTTTGGCGCTATATCATCGATACTGCGCCCGAATTAGTGTTAGCCCCGGATCCCCCCACCACCAAATTCACTCCTCCGCCGCAAGATTAAGCAACTCCAGAGAGCGAATCCTCCATTTCTCTGCCTCCATGCTCGACATCTCCGGTAGATCCATGGTCGACCATCCATGTGCCAAGGAGCGGTTGAGGCCATAGCAAAGATGACGAGGAGCATCACCTCCGCCGGTCGGCCGTCGCGAGTAAGCACGCCCGCCTTTGAGGGAGCCGTTGGGACGGCCTACGCACGTCGCCCACCCGCTCACACGTTGTGGAGGATGGGAGATCCTTCTTAGTGCCAGACGTGGTGGTGGTCAGCGATGACGAGCCAGAGGCGGGCGCCTTTGGACGTCGACGCAGGGGAGGGATTGTGCCCCACTCTCCCAGAGTGGTGGGCAAGACGCGTCGGTTGGCTTCGATGTGCTCAACAAGCACATCTTGCCCCACCTCAAGATGTGTCGCGCCGCCGCCGAGTGTATAGTGTCGAACACCAAAGAAGGTGCTCCGGACCACCTCGAAGCCGCCAAGAAGGAGCACGATCTCATGTGGGCGCTATGCAAGTCCGTCATCAAGCACTACCTCAACATCGACGTGTGGGCACGACGGTGAACATGTCTGCGAACTAGGGTTAAGTATATACGTTTTGTGTGAATTATCGTCTTTGTTTACGATGAATTGTGTTTGTTATGATCGCCGATGAACAATTTCTAGCGCGAACTTGTTATTTGAATTTTCCAGTACCAATATAGCCTATTTGTTCCGCCGAACAAGATTGCAACCCGAAAAACCATTTTCGAGGGTACCCTAAACTGGTTTTCCAGGTTGGGAATATAGCGGATCTACTAAAGATGCTCTCAGGCTGTCGATTTGGATAGAGTTAATTGTAGAACCATCACATAATGTGTTAGATTTGCAGGAAACACGGATTTACAGAATTGGAACAAAAACCACTAACTGATCAGCCTCTTATTTTTTGCAAAAACACCTATCGACGGCTTAAAATGTTTAAGCGCGCTTGAGATAGGTGAGGCCCGGTTTTGGGCGTAACGGTCGACAGCGTTAGAAGAGGTGAAAATCGCGGCCAGCCCCCATCAATCTATATCTATACCTTATTACTAATAAAGCAAGTTGTGCTTCTCTGATTTTTTTCATCCGTTCACCCATATTATATTTTTTGAGAACTTTTAAAATTTGAGGTGGTACTAATTTTCTTATCCTATAAAAACATAAAAGATTTCCGTATTGGGCCAGGTAGTTGCCGCGTGCTACCCTTGTGGGCCATCAGGCAGGCAAGTGGGCCTACTACAGCAAAATGAAGACAAATTTAGTAGGCAAGGTGGAGAATCAAACTCAGGACCTCCTATACTAGGAGCACCTACAGTTACCAACTAGGCTAAGCATCTATTCGTGATTATAATGGAAAGCTTTGGGAGTATTTGAAAGAGGCTATAGGAGGCTATATATTTGTGGGACTAAAAAGAGGCTATAGGAGGCTGCATGACATTAAATGGGGATTAAATGAGCTATTATATTCACGAACTAGACTCACGACAAAAGCCCCGAATACTGTCGACGGCTATTGTTGACGTCAAGCAGATGGCCGTGCCTTAGATTAGCGCTCGGTCCACAGACTGGCTCTCGTGGTCAACTGCGCATGCCCGGAGATGCGCACCGGACGCACGCCACCACGCCGACACACTGTATTGCCCAGCCCCACTGATCTGCCAAGGGGAGGGAGCAGCGGGCTGGCTGCCGGTGCACTTGGTCCCGTGCATCCTGACGAAGGCCTTCTTGAACTAGAGCCGTCGTGGTGCTCGAGCAGGAACGGCGCAGAACTGCCATCTCACGTTGGCAAAACTAGAGCCGCAAGTTTGATTCCGGTTTACGGGAAAAATGACGTCCAGACCGCCCATCGGATGGATACATAACTACTAATTTAGATGACAAAACACGTCTGGACCGCGTGGTTGAGAAGGATGCGGGCAGTTTGAGAGTCTGCATTGAAGATGCCTTAACAACATACACCATCAATTGAGAAACCATGGCATTGTTCGTATGATTGTCATACAACTTATCTACTCCCTCCCTTTCAGTTTATATGAGTGAATTTGAAAATCTCCCAAACCAAGATAAATGATAAGTGGTGGAATAAATTTTATAGTTTGCAAAAGTATTTAATTAGTATTCTCATTTTTCTCAAAATGTTGTGATGCATTAATTACAATGCATGCATGTATTACAACTAAATTAGCAAGAACTTCTACATTAATTGATGAGTTTTTCGTTTAATCCTTGCATGCAGTGATTTAATGCACATTAAAAATCTAAACATGTGATTGTAATAAGATCAATACTGTAGCAGAAAAATATATTTTTTAGATGAGCCCTATAAACCAAGAGGGACTAAATAGCATCTCAATTGAATACAAAGATAACATGTAAAAGGAAACTGAATACCTTTTGTCCGCAAGGAATTCTGTGATGTTGCTGATGACTTGTTGTAGGCTCCCTGCTTTGGTGTCATCGTAACGTTGATTGCTGACTTGACTAAGAATACTTCTAAGGATGTTCATCATGGCTGGCTTCCGTGACACGGATAGGAAAGCACAACACTGGAATTCCTTTTTGTGCTCTTGATACACTTGATTTGCAAGAGTTGTCTTGCCCAATCCTCCAGATCCAACAATGGAAACTATTTTCAGCGGCTCTTCCTCCTTCGATGACACCCATCCATTTTTCTTATTCAACAGTTTGGCTAGATCAGCCTTTGGTCTATCCATTCCGATGAGCTTTGAGGCATGCTCAAAGATAACAAGAGCTCTAGGGTCAACAACTTCATTTTTTATGTTGGAGATGGCCTGCCGGGTCTTGTACCTTTCATTCCTCTCGGCGACATCGATGATCTGTTTTTTCAGATCATGGATCTCGTTACCAATCCTACGACGAGCCTTCATCTTCCCTAACTTCCCAAGTGAGTTCTTGATCTTCTCTATGAAGCCATCTGGCTTTGAATCTTTATTGCCAACACCTTGCATGAAGTCATCGATCGAGTCCTCCATGTCATAGGAGAGCTCCCGCACCGCAGTCATCCACACTTTATCTTGCTCATCAGGTTCCTCCTCCTCAGACATCTTGAGGAGAAAGGCATGCATGGCGGTGAGCTCATCCATGAGGAACTGAATCTCACCACGCACACCCTTAAAACGCTTGTACTCGTCACCCATGAGGGCAAACAACTTCTCTAGGACGGGTTTCAGTGCACCCGTCGCCGCGCTCACCAGAACCATCTCCATGCTTGGGCTTGGCTCTAGTCCCGGCTGTTCGCTCAGTGGTTTTCTGTGTGTAGATGGGAAAGAGGTGTGGGCTGAATGATGCTTCGCCTCAGCCTTCCTTATAGCTAGCCTAGTTGAATACACCACATGCCTGATAGCAATAGTCCCGATGTGCTCTTGTCCCTAAATTATTAACTAAAGCTAGATGCTGGTCTTGTATGAGCTGTACCAAGCTAGATGCTGGCCTTGCTACCAAATTGGTCCTATCCAATGCTCCATCTATATCAGATCTGTTCAAACGCACGCCACCCCGCGTTGCTCAGCACAAAACTCTCTTGACCCGAAAGACGCGGCGTCTAGTGCTCAATCATGTCACGTCATTAGGTATCTACTCAAGCCAGGTATTAGGCTAGTCATAGTGGGGAGTAACTTAGACTAGTGTCATTCATATGACACTAGTCTATATTACTACCTTCGTAGTTGTGAGTAAGGGCATCTCCAACGATAACCCGTAAAAAACCTTCCGCATCCATACGCGGACAGGGGGACCAATCAGCGGATATAGATGCGGGAGGTCGGCATTCAACGCTAGCCGCATACATTTTAAACTCCTTCTCAAAAACCGCGTGAAATTCATGCAAACACGGCCGGATTTCGTACAAACATGACGGATTTCATACAAACCGAAGGAAAACATTACATTTTGAACATATTTTAACTAAAAAGCTAAAACTATGTGCACGTACAGTCGAGCGAAGCTCCACTCCCACGACACGGATACACTACACTAGTCTATGGCGGGCCGCCGCTTGTCTTCCCCAAGTTCGGCAGCCCAGAATAGCCGGACTGTCGGGAGTCCCGGAGGCATGTTCTCCCCTAGTATCTTCCCTATGTCCGGCTGCGCTGCTCATCGGAGCGGAAATGAGGGTGCTTTAGCGGGCGAAAAGGGGCTTCCGTGGAGCTCAGGCGGGTGCCCACGATGGTCTGACGTAAAGGAGAACCGGCCGCGTATCCGGTGGTGGCCTTCCTGGGACCCAAGCGGCAGCCTCCCGTGTTCTACTTCTCCTCGATGATGGCAGCGCGCGCAGATGTGCGGGCCACCATCTCGTCCACGTCTGTGCTGCCCTCTTCTTTCTTTGCGTGCATGGCGCGCCTACGTGTGCGTTGACGGTGGATGGCACGGTCGCAGAAACTGGATGCGGCGATGCTCGTGCCGCCGTGCGGTGTGGAGCAACTCGCCACTCCTAATCGAGTTGGCCTGGAGCGGTGAGTTGCTGGACCACGCGGCAACTTAGGGCGTCGATTTGCTCCGTTGGGTCAAGCGTGAGAGGTGGAGCGCAGCGAGCTGCTTCGCTTGTATCTGGCGGGCTCGGCGGGTCACCCAGTCGGCTTGTATGTCGGAGAACTGCTATTCGGAAGCCATCGGAAGAATGGAGAAAATGGTGAAGGAGGATGGGATCGGTGGAGGGTTGCGATTCTCGACTGGCATCTGGCCTTGTTTAAATAAAGGGCGAACGCAAAGAGCTTGTCCGGCGTTGTATTTGTCGGCCCGCTCAAGACCGGATGTGTGGCCGGAGTAGGTTTCCCCGATTCCACGCGGGTTTAATGGAGGCGTATGAATGCAGCGAGGAGGCGTGTTCAGTCAGGCGTGCAGCGGGCGGCGCCCTCGGCCGGCGCGCCGCTTTAATGGTGGAGGCGGTGAGATGTCGCGTCCGCCCTGAGCCGTCTTCAATGTGGAGCGGCATGCTCTACAACAAAAATGCGGGCACCTGGCGCCGGGCAGGAGCGCGCGTGGGAGAGGGAGGGGTTTTTGGTGGGCCGGGATGGTCAGAAACAGGGTTGGAATCGGTCCGGACTCTCGCAAACCTCCCCCACCTTTGTCTTCGGTATGCGGGAGAAATCACGTCCGGACAGCTTCCTGGTCAGATACAGGTCGGCGCTGAATGACTTTTGCGGTCCGGATATCGCGGCCCGAACGGTTGCGGAAGGTTTACGGGTCCGCCTTGAAGATGCCCTAAAATAGAAGTATAGTATCTTAGATGATTGTATTTATTAGATTGTAGACTCATTTGTCTTTCTGTTGCGTTACAGTTACATATTATGTTACTCCAGGCATCTCTTTTCTCATTAACTACATGTCATATAAGCAAACTTGTTTGGTAATGCGCTATGTTACTAGCTAACTTACCTTCATTATAACCAGCCTTAGGTCGACAAGCATCATTACTAGTAGTACTTACCATGTTCGTCGACTCACGTTACTCTGGCCCAATTGCAGGAAACTAGTTTTTCTTACCCGAAGAAAGTGTGCGCTTATTTTTCATAGCTAGCATACAAATCAGTGACGTGCCAGCAACACTGTTGTCAAATCCAATCAGCAAAAACTAGATCATGGGTTTTCACTGTCAAGTCCAACTAAATTTCAATGTCTTCAACAAATAAACTGTGTTTGTTTAGGATGTGTGGGATGCTGCCGAGATCTTATCTCGGTGAACACATAATGGCTGGTGTGTTTTATCAATTTTCAGAAATGAAAATTGGGCGAAAACCCCTTATTTCGAAAAGAAAAACAGAGAAAATGTGCAAAGACACACTGATATAGACAAGTACAACCAATTAAGATGAGACATAGATATTTACCCCGGGCCTCAAGATCAGGTACTCGAGAAATCAACTCCATGTTACATTGTTAACGATGCTAACCTTATGCACATGTTGATCGATGGTCTACATGTATTAGCTGTATGAAGTTGCTCATTAATAAATTTAAGCACTACTACTCTCTCCGTCTAGGTGAATAAGTCATTTTAGGTTGTGCACCGTGACCAAGAAGAAGAAGAAAACGAGAGAACTTAGTGTTTATTTGCTAATTAATTGCATTGCATGCAATGAACTAACCACTGTATGTTATGTTTCGTAGTCTCAACATTAAAAGCATGCACACCCCACATCTCTTATTGGTTGATATGTCAAGAAACAAGAAATGATGTACTCCCTCCGGTCCTTTTTAGTTCGCATATAAGATTTGATTGAAGTCAAGCCTCATAAAGTTTGACCAACTTTGTAGAAAAAAGTGGCAACATTCATAATCTGAAATTAATACCACTAGATGTGTTATGACTTAATGTTTCATATTATAATACTTTAGCATGGCAGATATTGATATTTTTTCATATAAATACGGTCAAACTTTATGAAGTTTGACTTCAGAGAATTCTAATATGCAGAGTAAAAAGGACCGGAGGGAGTAGAAGTTAATGCACCGCGCCTAAGTGTTTTAGGATTATTTGATTTTCATAAGATGAGTTACACACTTAGACGGAAGGAGTATAAGTTTGTACTAGTCAATAGTTAATTTCGCTCCCATTTGTTCAAACGCTCGCCATCCAATGTTGCTGAGGACAAAACTCTCTTCACCCGAAAGACGGGCGTCCTAATCATTAATGGTTACTTAATCATGATGCATCATTAAAGCTAACTCAAGCGAGGTACTAGTATTAATCACTTAGTTTAACCTTCTAACTTAACAAATCTTACCATATGCTCATCGACTCATGTTACTCAAGCCCGTTGCATGGAAGTTATTTTTACCTACACACAACCACTACATGCCTCTCCACCTCAATCTCTCCGCCATCCCACCTCTGCCCAACCTCTCCCTCTGGCCTAGCCGGTGGTGAGCAGGGCAATGCAGTTTCAGCGAATTGTCATTTTTACAGCCAAGGCAAGGTTGTCTCAGCCTTAACACCTCTAGATCTGTGCATGCATGAGCGTTCTTAAGTTCTTAATACCTCCAAGACTGTACTTTTCTATTGATAAGATGGTACTCTCTTTTTTAAGATAGAGTGGGCTACCGCGCTACTAATTGAATGCTTGTTATTGACAAAGAGTAAGAAGCCAACAGGCTTCCGTGTAGTTGCTTGAGTTTCTCATACCTTATTGCTACCGTGCTACAACTTACTCCATCCGTAAACTAATATAAAAGCGTTACTAAAGTAGTGATATAAACTTTCTTATATTAGTTTATAGAGGAAGTAGTTAGTAAGCACTGATCCAGCACGTACGAACGCTCAACAGCTCCTTTGACATCTGGAGCTGGGAAAGAACCAAGCAACTACTCGACTTCTTTGTTACTCTAGGCAATTGCATGAATGATAAATCACATGTACTAGTTTTCTTAACCCGAGATTGTTAATTAACCTCAGCTAGCCCCCACAGATAAGACAAAAGCACGTAGGTCATGTCAATCGAACTGCGTGCGCTGTTAATTTAAGTTGAGATCTGAAACAATTTGCCGGCAGAAAGTATCCCCTCTCATTTGTTAACCAATTTCTGTTTCCATGATTCCCCGTGAACTGCATTGCCATATTAGTTTTTCTTTACCGAGTTGTTCGCTTGTACCAGCTTTGTTCAAGATCGATGTAGCCAGTCAATCATTCAGTTCGTCTTTGTTACTGATGCCCTGCTTGCCTACCCGGTTGATCTTTATGCAGTTGTGGTTACTGCTTTTATGAAGAACTTTTTTTGATGAATTCTGTAGTATACTTTCCTTGACACATAATCTACAGTTTACTGACCAAATTGATAGTCCAACTTGATGCCTAGAATACATAAGCACCACATAAACTGAGACTGGTTGTAGTAACAATGCACAGCTTTCCAACAAGTCTTGTCACGTCGCTCCATCAATAGTTGCCTCTGACTCAAAGTTGCCAGTTAATTAACCTCAAAGAGGGCCAAAAGCCATTTTGCCGACACGATGTGCCCTAATTTCAGCAATGATTCGTTTGGCCTGTGTGCCATTTCATTAGTTAACCAAGGCAGTATTAGTTTCTGCATTTCAACTCTCCTCTAGATCTCTGCATGCATGGGTCGTGCCGCTGCTAGATAGCTAGTGGCAGTATTAGTTTTCTTCGCCCGAGTTATTATTATATGTTTTGTTCAAAGGTCGATGTGGCCCTGCTCAGTGTTAATTTTTACAGTATTTTTTCTGCTTTCACTCATATTAGTGGGTAACGGTA